CGATTATAGTCGAGCATGTGTCGTACTCTGCTAAACACCATCTTGATAGTCCTGAGCTTAGTCCCGATCTTTCAATTCAAAACTTTCGTGTTTTTTTTTCTTCACAAAGTAAAGAAAAAGAAACCGTTGCATTGTTCATTTGTTTGAGCACCGTATGTATGGCATTAGATGTGCTATAACATTGTCACGATGAATGTATAGCTCAGACGCGCCCTATTCCTGCCTTTTTCCTATCAGCGGCTGCGCAAGGATACACTGCAACAGAAATGTGCTTAAGCAGCTTAACACAGCCTCTTGGATGACGAGCTCAAAGGGGGGTTGTACAGTGGTTAAAAAGGATGTGATATCTGATATATGATATATCATATCTGTTTTTTTTTTTGTTTTTGTTTTTTTTTTGTTTTTTTTTTGAATTCTGTGATTGAATGCCTCTGATTGAAAGTTTCCAGACTGTTACCGTTCCCACATTCTCCTCGAGGCTGGAATGAATCTCGAAACTTATGTTGGAACTGCGTTTGCGTGCTTTGATGTCACTTGAGTACAGGTAGGAGATTTTGGCATTTTGCTGAGAGCAGGTTTCAGTGTGACGAAGGCGCTCACGCTCAACTTCCTGTCAGCGCTGCTGGCTATGGCTGGGACTGCCGCGGTATGACGACTCTCTTGGCTCCTTGAGTTGGTCCGCTCTGCTGTTTCTCACTCTCTTCCTCATCTGTGCACCTCTTCCTTCCCTTCTTCAAAATAAAAAAACCCGGAATCTGATCTCTCAAGGGCATTCCGTCTAAAAGTTGTGAGTTCAGGCTGTTGTATGTGAGAGAGAGAGACAGTCAAAAGTAGAGCAAGATTGAGTGTAAGGCTACGCAGGGCACCCAGAAGCGAGGAATATTGTAACGGAAGATTACTGCCAAACTCCATGTACAGCATACAGAGGGCCGTGTGTTGTTCAGCAATCGAGCTGGGTGTCGTGGTCTATGTAGTTTCCAGGTTGACAAGAACGTGTCCCTGCTTACATCCCTGCCCTATACTCCGTGCGGCCTCTCAGCCCCTTCTCTCTCTCTCTCTCTCTCTCTCTCTCTCTCTCTCTCTCTCTCTCTCTCTCTCTCTCTCTCATAGTTTCTTTCTTTTGTTCTTCAGTCTCTCTCTCTCTCTCTCCCCCCATCCCTCTCTCGCTCTCATGGTTTCTTTTTCTTTCTTTTGTGCTTCAGTCTCTCTCTCTCTCTCTCCTCTCTCTCTCTCTCACATGGGGGTTTCTTTCTTTTGTGCTTCAGTTTCCACGCTTTTCCCCTGTACCGACCCCACCATTTAGGCTCTGGGGTTCACTTTCAGCTGACAGCAGATGTGCATGGTTTCTTTTTCTTTCTTTTGTGCTTCAATCTCTCTCTC